AAGGAGGCTCCATAATAATTGAAAGAGGAAAAAATGAATCTAAATACATCTGTTGCTGTATCATCTGTTAAAAACCTGTAAAAAAGCTTATGTTAACTATTAGAAAAACTGAAAACAGAACCTAGCAAAACTACTTTTTCAAAATATCAGACCTTCGCTCCCTCATTTTATCATGGCTTATGAGGGTACTCTTCTATTCTTGTATTAAACATGATGCATCTGTGGGCTTTAGTTTCTTTTCTCTTTTGTCAAAAAGAGATAAAATGCAATCTTTTTCTTACTAAGAGTGAAATTTATTGTGTTGGTGTCTTATCAGATTCAGTGGAGAAAATGAGGCTCACTTGAAAATGACAAGATAGTACATCTGTGGTATTTGTATTTTAATACAAGTCTGAAAATAAGCTGTAACAACTTAGAGAACACAATTAATACTGTACCACAAAGACCAAGTTTTAAAAGAGCCCAACTTTTGAAGGAATTTATTAAAATTTATCAAATTTATACTCTATTGGATAGTGATATTGGCAATATTTTTCTCAAATCAAGACATTACAGAAGAGTCTCCTATACAGGGGCTCTAGCCATAGACAGAAATTTTTCTGATATGAGCTAGTTTCTGAGCCTTCTTTAGAATTTGAGCTTATCTTCTCCCAGAGCCAGGAGGCCTAGCTCATCAAAGCTGTCCAGAGGCCGTCTTCAGCCTCTTGGACCCACTCAGTGCTGCTGGCTCAGCATGCATTCATTCATGCATTCTTTTATTACACCAACTATGTTGTCACTGGAGAGTCAAAACCAGATCTGGCTGTTCTTGCCTTCAGGGACCTTACAGTGTAGCTATTCTGACATTTCTGCCATGTACTGTTCAGCTCTCCCCACTTTTCTTCTTTCTCTTCTTTGATGTGGGTAATTTCATTGGCCTTTGGCTCGGCTTCTATATGGAGCTTCTTCCTATCTTGCAATACCTCTCTGAGAGCCTTCATGCTGCTTTTCCACCTCTTTCCTAGTATTGAAAAGTTATATATTTTAAGCCGTGAGTATTAAGTGCTTCTTGGAAAATTCCATCAAGGCTCATATTTTCCAAGTTCACTGTTGATTGCTCCACTAGCGTTCACAGCCTTTTAATGTGACATCCCTAGGTTTCCTTTGGGACAGGTTTGGGTTGACTTCCTTCCTCTGCCAGGAGGGCAACCAGCCAGTGACGGTTTTAAGTTTGCATTGGAATCAGCCCGATGTCAGGGATGTGCCTGAAAGTAATCCTTGAGGTTCTCATTCATTGCTGGTCCTGGCTGGAGTCCCTTAGGCCAGTGAGGTCCAGAACACCCCTAACGCCAGCCTGCAGTGTCTTCACTCATTCACAAGACTTTCGTTCTCAAGTCATCGTTCCGTACAGAGAAAAACGAAGGATAGGATCTAGGGAAAACTTTGTCCTTTGATTGTTTTGTTATCCTTCCCTCTAACGACTGTTCCTGGTCGTGCTCACCTCTGTGTGTCTTATCTTTGATGTGATTATTTTGATGTTTTCTCTAAGTATATAAATGGATGATAGTTACCAAGTAAGTATGAGATGGAATCCCAGACTCTCAGATTTGGAAGAAACTGCCCATACTGAGGGGCTGACACTAGAGTCACTTCTCAAATCTGCCCCTGAGTGATTTCCTCCACTAATGGGGAACTCATCATCTCCTGAAGCAGCCCATTTTATCTTTAGGCGTCTTTGTTAGACCCCCGCCCCCCCATCCCCCCGCCCCCCGCCACACACACACAATTAAATTGGAATTTGTGTTCTTGGCACATCTACTCTTTGTCCCTTGTTCTAACCTTTGGAGCCACACAGAGCAAGTTTAATCCCCTGTCAAGTCACATGACAGCCCTTCCGGTATTTATATTTGATTACAGTTTGTTGTGTTCTTAACCCATTTCATTCCCCTCCGTCTCTACCCTGGTGCCTTCTCTACCCTAACTTCTTGGTCTTGAAACATCCTGGTCACTCTTTTCTTAAGCCAGACTCTTGCTGATCAGCCCCAAGCAGAGGAGGCTCCCTAAGTCACCAGGGAGGGGACCTGAGCATGCTGAGCAGCAGGACTCACTTGGCTAATGTGGCTGCAAGGCTGATGGCCCCTTTGTCCTCAGGACCCCTTGCACATTCCCCTGAGGCTATGCGCTTAGGTGAAAAGGCAGCTATTCTGAAATAGTTGGGGAAGTTGTTCTTGATTTTAGGGGCATCTACAGGATGGCTAATTGCCCTGCCCTGCTGAATCTGGATGTACAATTTCCAGAGATCACAGTGGTGTTTGACAAGCCTCTCACCATGAACATGTCATCAACAGTGCTTGCCAAGCCTTAAAAAAAAAAAAAAAAAGATTTGCTTCTGTGCCTCACCCATCCTGTAGTCAAATAGTTGGTTTCTTCAGGGCCTTTGATTCTTTCCATTAAACTTCATTTTGTTATGCTTGATCCATTGATCCAGTCTGCTGATCTATTTGGCTCCTTAAGTCTCTCACAATGCATTGTCTGTTTCTGTTTCCTGTGGTTCTAGTGGTCCAGGGTACCAGCTGTAGGGTGAGAGAGACATGGGTGTAAATTCCACATCCTCCACCGACTGGATGCTTGGTTTTGGGCAAGAGCATAGTGAAGGGTCTTCTGAGACAGTTGACAGAGCAGATGAGTGGTGTCTCAAGGAACCCAAGAGCAGAAGGCAGGAGCCTCAGGAAATCAGAACCAGGGACACTGAAACACGTTCTCATCTCATCCCTGCTTCTCTCTGAACATTAAAAAAAATTTTTTTTTTCTTTTCTGGAGGCTGACTTCTCCTGTCTGCTTATGTGGTAGGCGGAGTAATGCCCCCTACCCAAAATATGTCCACACCCTAATTCTGCAACCTGTGACTATGTCATCTCACATGGAAAAAAGGATACGATTAAAGTAAGGGCCTTGAATGGGAGATTCTCCTGGGCTCAGTGTCATCACAAGGTCCTTATCAGGGATAGAGGGAGGCACGAGTGTGAAAGTTAGAAAAGGGGGAGAGAGGATGGAAGCAAGGTCAGAGAAGATGCTACACTGCTGGCTTTGACAGTGGGGGAATGGGCCAACTGAGAAATGCATGCTACCTTTGGAAGCCGGAAAAGGCAAAGGGGCAGATTTTCCACTAAAGCCTCCAGAAGGAACTCAGTCTTGTCACCACCTTGATTTCAGCCTAGTGAGACTTCAGACCTCCATTACAATAAAAATCAGCGTGTGTTGTTTTAAGCCACTAAGTCACAAGTATCTCCTTGCCTTGAAGTTTTCCTCCATGTCACCTACCCTCTTGCAATAATGAACTCTCTCCGGCAGCGCTTCGGAGGCCCTGGGGTTTGTTTCTGCTTTCTCGCTTCCTTCATCACCATCGTCTGCCTCAGGGCCTGGTCCAGGCCCTTTATGGCGTGAGTTCTTGGTAAATGTCTTTGGAACCAGAGAGCTCGAGTGAAACCTGATGATGCATTTCAGAAATCCAGCTGTGTGATTTTTTTATAGTTCTCCGCACCCCCCTCCTCCAGCCCCTGCAGCTCAGCAGCCCTGCCAGAAAAGGAACAAGGCCAGTCCCTGGTAATTTTTCTGAGCAGGCTTGCAGATGGCCTAAGTGTTCTTTCACCATGCTTGGAATCCCTGCTCTAGGGTCTTTGTGTGGTGGATCCACCTGCTTTTGGAGACTGAACTATAGCCATGTTTTTATACTCTTCAAATATCAGAGATTGAATTAAAAAAAAAAAAAAACCTGCAGAAATATGGTTTGATGCCTTCTATTCCTTTAATGTACTACAGTTGAAAATGTGCTTCTACCTTCAGTCTCATTTAATCTCCATGGTAGCCCTTGAAGTGGCCAGCCCCTTTTCAGTTTGTTAAGCGTTTTTCTTGTGAGGATGGGAGCGACGATATCCCCGCTCTTTACAAGGGTGAGCTGGAAACCCACCAATGCTTTTCATGGGTCAGAGTTCAAGGTGGTGACTTGCCCAGTCTTGCTTGTGTGATTAGGAGATACTTCTGTTCCCCAGGCTGTTGGAACCACAGCTCTCCACCTCTTCAGAGTTGTCAGGCCCATTCTCATTTTCCCCTGATAATTCTGCAAGCCCCTTGAATTCTACTTTCCCTTCTCATTAAGCTGGCACCCTTCTGTGACTTCTTCCATCCCTGCTGTTATCACGGCCTCCTTGCCATCTGGGCCTGTAGCTGTCAGCTGGCCATCTTCCTTCTGGTTTGAACTGGAGATACTCTGGAAAGGCCTCCCAGATCAGCACCTGTTCTGGGGCCTTATCTCATGTCTCCTGTCGGGGCACACACAGCATACTCAGTTGCTGCTGGCTGGGCGCTGTCCTCATACTCAGCCTCATAATCCTCTGCAAGTGGTCCCCAAACTGCAAACTGGATGAGTTCCAAAAGTTTATTTTGTAATTAGTTGATTGTTTGGAGTTAGAATGCATCTTCTTGGGGATTCAGTGTCATACCTGGTGGTTGGGTTCCAGGTCCACAGCCAACATCTGTTGTACTTGTGGCATAGCCAGACTCTTGAGTCATGAAGAGAATAGGCTTTGGAGTCAGATAGGCCTAGGTGAGTTCTGGCTCTGCCACAGCTATCGGGGTGACCTTGGGAAAGTGATTTAACCCCCTTAAGCCTCAGTTGCCTCACCTGCAAAATGGTGATAAGTAATACCTACCTGGCAGGGTTGCTGAATAATGTATAAAAAGTGCTTAACATAGTACTTGGCACATACTCAGTGAATGGTCAGTATTAGTTATTACTGTATTATTAATTATGTGTTTAGTTTGTTTAATAGCATCAGATACCTCATCATTATTTATGCTGCCATTTCTGTGGGTAAACTGACTCCAAGGTCAAACTCTGTGTTAGCGACTCATTGAAATGCCTGTTTTTTTCCTTCTGGCGGTCTCAGATTGCTGGGGGAGCTGAGGAGGAGTCTCCTTCCTCCCTTCTTTCGTTCAGTTCATAAATAATTGCGTTATATCAGGTATGCTCTGGGCACTGAGGGCAAAATGGTGAGAAGACCAAGATAGTCCCTGTTCTCCTGGATCTTACAGTCTGGTGAGGGAGACAGACATTGATGAAAATCAAAGCATCATGAAATGCAAAAATAGAGCTGCTGTGAGGAGCGGAGCTGGACGTGGTGCTGCCAGGTATTTGGTGGGCCTCTGGGTTGGATCTGGGTCGTTGGGTGGCAGACACTGTCTTCACCTGGGTGGCTTTGGACTTGGGCAGCACTGGATTCAGATCGAAGCAGGAGTGGTGGTGGCTTGGTCTCCAGCAGGTATCGCGACATCAAGGACACTTATCAGAGACAAGCGTTGCTGGAGAGGAAAGACGTCCTGCTTTCTAGTCAGGGTGCTGAGTCTCAGGTGGTGCTTATTAAGGATTGGTTTAAGTGGGACTTTAACTTGGCCACTCCTTATATTCAACCCAAATAACACCCCAGTCCACGCTTCTTGTCACTGCAGCTTCTGATCACAAAGCAAGGTTAATTAGCATCTTTCTCCCTGTAATTGTCTCCATTTCATTTCTCATTTTTCACTCCTTCTTTCTTGCTCTGCTCTCTACTTCTCTTTTTCCTCCTGTTTGATTTCTCCTGTTCTGCTGTGCAACTAATTCAGCTCTTTTGTTTTTCATCCAATTTATGTTTCTCTTTTGGAGAAGCATTTTCTGTGACTCTGAGATGGAGGAGAAGTGGGTAGAGTTCTCTCTGACATGAGCAACTTGGTATGTAGGTTTTGCTTAATGTTCCCATAAACTATGCTCCGATGTTACGTTCTCTGGGGAAGGTACATCTCACGTTTGCCCAGCTCTCTCTTTACTCCTTTTCCTTCCACAAGACACAGTTTGCAAGTTTCTTAGTCATTTAGTTCTACTGTTAAGCTCGTGGAAAACTGTGCACAGCTCATCAGTGATCACCATGTAGAACATAGTCACGCCCACCTTGTGCAGTACATGAGCTTGGGAACTCGCTGCATGTCTCTTCGGGTACCTGCGATGTGGTGCTCTGCATTCACTAGGGCCTGGAAGATTGTTTGCTCTGTTCTTCCTGGCAGAGGTGTAATCCAGGAGCAGTGTTTTGAGATCTAACGAGGACAAGATGCTCGATGATCTGTTGGAGGATGCGAGTATCTCCATTCTGGCCGCCCAACAGGCTGGAGGTGTAGATTGTGTCAGGAATTGCAAGTGTTGGCTTTGAAGTGATCACACTGAGAAAAGGGGTAGCAATAAAAGCAGAGAGAGAAAAGATAACAAGAATCCTGTCATCCAGCTGTACAGAGCCACTAAACATTTGATATATATAAGAAAATTAATTGTTCACGAGCTTTTTCTAATCGGTTCCTTGAGGGCTGAGTTTTCATCTTACCACTTCTCCTTTTTAAGGAGTCATCAAACCAAAATACCCTAACTGTATTACAAATATATGAAACGATCTTACTGAAGTGAATCATTACTGACCACAGCAGTGGGTTTGACTGCCTGGTGGCTTTTTAAAAAAAGTTACTTAAATTTATTTTAGAATAGATTTACAAGAAAATTATGAAGATAATTCAGAGTTTCCCTATCACCTCCTCCCCACCAGTTTCTTCTATTATTCAGAGATACGATTTGTCACAATTAAGGGGCAAATGTTGACAAATTATGTTTAACTAGAGTCCGTACTATATTAAGATTTGTTTAGTTTTTATCTAATATCTGTTTTTTGTTTCAGGAACTCAGCCAGAAGACCATATTACATTTAGTTGTCGTGTCTCCGTAGGCTTCTCTTGGCTGTGATAGTTTCTGAGACTTTTCTTGTTTTTGATGACTTTGATAGTTTTGAGGAGTACTCATTTTACAGGATGCCCCTCTATTGGAATGTGTCTTTTTCATGATAAGACTGGGGTAGGGCTTTTCAGGAGGTAAAGTGCCATTTTCATCACAGTACTTAGTATCAGTATGACTTATCACACTATTGATGTTGATCTTGATAAAGTATGGACCTGGATGAGGTCGTGTTAGGTTTCTCCACTGTAAAGTTATTCTTTTTTATCCTTTCAATATTGTCTTCTCTGGAACGAAGTCACTATATGCTGCCTACACTTAGTGAGGTATTATTCTCCCCTTCCTTTAGGGCAGAGTATCTAAATCAGTTATTTGGAATTCTGTATGGGAAATTTGTCTGTTCTTCCCCATTTATGTATTTATTCAATCATTTGCTTATATTAGTATGTACTCATGGATATTTATTTTTACACTTTGCTTTCTAATTCAATACTACTTATTTTGTTGCTCAAAGTATTCCAGCTTTGGCCTTTGGGAGCTCTATGTCTCTTTGACATACCTCCATCACTGTGGGTTTTTTTTTTTTTTTTTTTTTTAAGCACTTCCTTACTTTATGACATGACAAGATACTCCAGGCTCATCTTGTATATTTCCTGCTCTGATCCTAGAATCAGCCATTTCTTCAAGAGGCCCTGGTTCCTTTTATTGAAGAATTCGTTGGTCTTAGAAACCTAGATCTGGGCACTAGGTATGCTCATTGGAGTGTTGTTAATTCTAAGCCCCTTTGGCTGACAGAGCAAGGAAAGACATGTGTAGACTATATATAAACTTCTATATATAAATGTAACCATTTGCATCAATATTAAGCTAAATATGAATTTATATAGATGTCTCCAGCTCTAATCCATTATCATGTAGATCATTCTAGGCTTCTTCTCTTGCATGTCTATAACCTCTCACTCCAACAGGCTTCTACCATCTGCCATCCATCTACTTATTTAATTCCAGTATACATGTATAGTGGTTTCAGAATCGTTAACCCATCCCTCTGTGAAAAGCATTTTTATCAATTACACACAGTAAAATACTTATGTATAGTTTCTTTTGCTTTTGGTTTTAGAGATTCCACTTATTTCCAGAATCATTTAAATCATTACTTTTTCCCCTCACCCACTTCAGTAAGATCATTTCATATATTTGTAATACAATTGGGGTATTTTGGTTTGATGACTTCTTAAAAAGAAGTGGTAAGATGAAAACTCTGCCTTCAAGGAACCGATTAGAAAAAGCTCGTGAACAATTAATTTTCTTATATATATCAAATGTTTGGTGGCTCTGTACAGCTGTATGACAGGATTCTTGTTATCTTTTCTCTCTCTGCTTTTGTTGCTACCCCTTTTCTCTGGACTGAATGTGTCTCCCTAAAGTGCAGATGTCTAAGTCCTAACCCTCATTGTTCTGTGATGGTATTTGGAGATAGGGCTTTTGGGAGGTAATTAGGATTAGATTAGGTCTCGAGGGTGAGGTCCTCACGATGGGATTAGTAGCTTTAGAAGAAGAGAAAGATTTCTTTTCATGCATGTGCACTGAGAAAAGGCCATGTGAGGACATAGGGAGAAGTCTGTCATTCTCAAGCCAGGAAGAAAGCTGTCGATAGGAACTAAATCCGTTAGCACCTTGATCTTAGACTTCCCAGCCTCCAGGACTATGAGAAATTCCTGTTGTTTAAGCCCTCTAGTTCATGGTATTTTGGTATCTGAGCAGACTAAGACACCATTGTATATGGAAACAGGATAGGCCCCCTGGGCTGTTGAGGGGCACTTTCTTAAACCAAATTCCCCAATTCCCTTTCTATTTTTTAAATAACAAAAGGACCCCTCTTTTCTCCAATGCATCTAGGGTTGGAGGTGGGTCCAGGTGGTGTTCTTAGTGATACATTTAGATGTGAGAGCTCCAGGTTAAGTCCTTTTTATTGGAATTGTTTGAGGATATTTAATGGGATGCTTTTGGCAAACTTTAGGATGAGGGAATGCTTCCCAGTGAAAAGATTATAATCACCTACTGGGAGAAAAATATAACCTCTTTCCCCAAGCATCCTGAGCTTTTGTGAGAGCAGGAGAGCCTGGTTTTAAAAGCAGGAAGCATGCTGAGAAGGATGGAAGAGTGCACTATGGATGGCTCAGACCTGGATTCGAGTCCTGCCTCTTTAGTGCCATCAGCTGTACAGCAGCATCCTGTGCTCCTGTGTGGACAGGGGCCAGCAGTAGGGTTCTGCCTGAGATTGTGAATGTGGAAGCATTTTGTAAACCATAGCATCACAACGTGGATGTGAGCGATTGTTAAAAGGTCCAAGTTAAAGGCCTTGGCTTCCTGGAAGGAAGGTTTTTCTCTCAGATGCCGATCGTATGTTTTTAATATGTGTCCTTTTATTGTTTAGTATTTTTAGCTTCTTTAGACAGGTCATATCTTCTCCCTACAACTGTCTGCTTACTTCAGACAAGGAGAGAAGTCATGGGAGCTGTCACTGATGTAGGAAAGAAAAAGAAGCCTGAAGCTCTGGGGAAATGTGTAGCTCTTCATTTTTTTTTTTTTTTAAAAAACAATCTTAACTTCTAGGGAGGGACTTCCTTTCATTGTTTCCCTTTTGTGTTTCTTCCTTTTCCTTTTCAGTTTTTTCTCTTTTCTTTGTAATGATTTTTTTTCATGTCCAGGGTTTTTGAAAAAAATTACTTTTATCGCCTATTTCATTTCACAACTTGGCACCTGTTTTGACAGGACTATGTGTTTCCTGCCGCCTGGAGACAGTCAAAGAGCATGGCGTAAATTTGTCTGGAGCGTCATGCCATGATTTCCACTGCTGTGGCTCATAGAGGCTCCCATTGGAAAGATCTACCCAAGGAAACAAATTACACTTTGGTTTTTAATACAAAACCTTTCTAAATTGAGCCCCTAGGAGAAAACTAAGACAGTTAATACTCCGTTTTGCAATTTTTTTTTTTCTATGTGGTCATCAGTTAACTACCCAAATTAAAGTATATGTGTTAATGTTCAACATTAGGCTAATGTCCAGATCTGGACGTGACAGTTCAGAGTAGATTAATGTACAATATACCAGCATTTAGAAGAATACTTGATACATAGTGCCAGTACTTATGCGTTTGTTACATTTTTATTATCATTGCAAACTAAAGAATAGCTTCTATGTTTTATGTTCTGGGGCAGTAAGACAAAGATGAGGGGACCTAATGTCAGTATTGGGTATAGGTGCAGAACAGTAAACTGGAATTGTTGTTGCTCTGTTACTGGTGCAGGAGAAGTGATGGTGGGGATGGAAATGGGTCTAAAAACTTGGAACTAGAGGGCTGGAATGTCAGTGGTA